TGCTATTTCCCTTTGCAAATAGTACTTGATGCCCATAGAGCAACAATGTCCATGAAGATTTTTTCTTGTCTCTACATACTCAGATCTATAAACCTCAATTTAATTATTGCATAGATTTTCTACTTTTCAAACTATAATCTTCAAAAATTATATATTTCTGTATTTTATGTGTATACTTATTATATAGAAAATTCATCACAGATGAATTTGAAAATTCAGATAAACAAATAGAAGAAAAATCTTTTCATAATTATCACTGTGAGTTTTCTCCCAACGATTGGATGACATATGGCATTAGTAATCTTCCTTTTTTCACTTAATATAAATTGTAAATATATTTCAAGTCAATAAATATACAACAAAAAATAAAGACAACAAAACCTGACTTTTGATATTCTTTAATATGCATGTTCCATATAAATATGAATTTTACCTATCTCCTAATATTGGAACTCTAAGGTGTTTTCCATCTTTACAAACAAACTAACCTATCTAGAGAGGGAGTCAAATTATTGCTACTACAAACAAACACTACAGTGAGGAATCTTTCATAGTTATTTCCTTAGATGAATTATTTACATTGCAATTACTGGATCAAAACTAACTTGTGGTGCTCATGTCCTTGCTATTATGTACCAGATTGTCCTGTGCAAGATAAGAGGCTCCAGGCCCTCATCAGCACTGCATGCCATTACCCATTTTCTCAAAGCTTTGCCACAAAAAGATAATAAAATTGAAAACATCAATATTAATTGCAGATAATTGTGTCTTTTTTTTTACTTTAATCCTTATTTCTAATGATATTTGTCCTGATAATTTGAGAAGCCATTTTTAAAGTGTTCTGCAAATGCTTTAAAAAAAAAAAAAACTTAAATTTTATGTACTAATCAGTTTGGTCTTTTTTTTTTCTTTAAAGTCTTAAAATACTTTGGGGGAAAAACTTAGTTGTTAAAAAACTTCATGTAGAGGAGACATCCAGTTAAAAACTGGAGATTTAATAAGGAATACTGAAATGTTAGTTGGACAAGCAGTTTTCTTTCTAAGAAAGTTAGTTCTCTTTTCTTATTTACCATTGTGAATACATTATCATGTGGTCTTACAGAGAGAGCTTATTTGCTGCTAGAGATGATGCTGATTTTCTGTTTTTTAAGGCATATCTATTCATGTTAACATGTAAGAATATTCACAGAGCACTATTAAGTGAAAAACTTAAGATGCATAACTGTATGCCAACTACAGTAGCCAATCTTTCAGATGACCCCCCATTCACACCTTTGTGTGATTCCCTTCTCTTGACTTTCTCTGTGTTTTTGCAACTGATTTAAAAAATGAACATAAATTCCTCTAAAAAATTCTAAAGTTTATAAATTAATTAATATAACTTATAATGAGTCATTTTAATGTCATAGTTAAATAGCCAAGTACATTGTATTAAACAAAAAACTGACCAACTTGAGGCAAATTTCTTCAGTCATTCCAAATTCTGCTTTTGACAGCTAAAATATAATTTTTGAACCCATACCAATATAGAAATCATACAATTCAGGCCTTGTGTGAAAGCACCTCACTTCATGTCACTTCCCATGCCTCTTGCTTCCTGATCCAAGGCTTTCCTTCTGCCCCTGGGGAAAGTCACCCTGGATTACTTAGTGGCCATGATGTACATGCAACTTGTACTGCGACATAAATAACACCCCATGGAGTGAAACATTCCTTTTTCCAATGGGAGGTCAGAGTGAGCCATTACCTTCTTCACTTTATCTCTTCCTGATGTAACTGTCTTAAGATACATGCTGCTAGCTTGGCTGGCGTGACTCAGTGGTTGAGCGTTGACCCATGAACCAGGAGGTCACAGTCTGATTCCCAGTCCGGGTACATGCCTGGGTTGCAGGCTCGATCCCCAGTGTGGGGCATGCAGGAGGCAGCTAATCAATGATTCTTTCCCATCATTGATATTTCTATCTTTCTCTCCCTCTTCCTTCCTCTCTGAAATCAATAAAAAGATATTTTAAAAAAAAGTTACAGTGACAGAAGTGAGCCAAGGTGGGCTGCTTTAAAAAAAAGATGCATGCTGCTGAAGGCCTCTCATCAGATCATCCCATGAGGTGGAACAGTTAGTTGTTTCTAATACCACACAGAAACC